TCCACTGAGCATCCACCAGAAGCGTTTTACTTTCATTGTTTTCAGCTTACTCAAACTGGAGCTGTAGCCGTGTCGCTCAGATGCCTGTCATTTCTTTAATCGTTAAACTTCGGGGATATCTCATGTCTCATTTTTTTTCCTGAAATTAATGGAAGCTTCGGTTTGTTGCAAATCAAAATATGGATCTGCGCTCGGTGTTGTCCAGTACTGGCAAAGCATTTTTTTTTTTTTTCTTCTTTTCTTTTTCTTTCTGTTGGATGAGAAATCGATCATTGTTTTTGATTAATCAGCATGCTGAATTTAGCATTAGGGGACAGAACTTGGGAGCGGGATGCCCAACTACAGATCACATCTCTCTTTGAATCTGTTAGTAGTTCAATTCTTACACTATTATTTTTTTCTTTCCGTTTTTTTATTTAATTTGAAAATATATATTTTTTGGAACATCGTAACAGCTAGGTCTTGCTTCTTCTTTTTTTTTCTTTTTTAAAAAGGGACGCCGTTTTTCCAACCTGCTCCGCTTAAGTCCAGCCACCCATCCTAGGCTGTCTGGCTTTGAATTAAACACACACACACAAAAAGGAAAGCCCAAAAGCAAGTTCTGAGCAGGACCAGGCTGTTTGCTGCCCCCCCCCCCCCACTCCCCTCACGTTGACGCCATCAGGGTGGGGCTTTCTGGAGCCCTCACACTAAACCATACTCCTCATCTGCTCAGTCATCCTTTACTTACGTTCTCATAGTCAGCGTTATTCAAAATGTAACATTTGTCTTTCATGTTTTGTTTTCTTTTGTATTCCCCAAATTTCAATTTAGCAATGGATGTGGGGATGAAAATGACTAGATTGGGCGTTTTTAACATAATTGCTGAAGGGGAATCATAACATTCCAGTGTACAATTAGGACAAAAAAAAACTTTAATGGAATAAAATGTATTATTGAAAAATTAAGACTGTTTTGTGTTGTCTTTTGCTGCGACTGCTTGATTCAATTCAATTCAATTTTATTTATATAGCGCCACATCACAACAACAGTTGTCTCACAGCGCTTTCCAAACAGAGCAGGTCAGACCCTACTCTGAAGTTAATTACAGAAGCCCAACAATTCCCACCATGAGCAAGCACTAGGCGACACAGGCAAGGAAAAACTTCCTTTTAACAGGCAGAAACCTTCAGCAGAACTATGGCTCAGGGTGGACGGCCATCTGCCTCGGCCGGTTGGGGGTGAGGGGAAAGAGAGGGCAAGAGAGAGAGAGAGGGCGAGAGAGGAACAGAGGGAGCAGAGAGAGGCAGCCAACACAGCAACACGTAGACTAGATGAAAAATGGCAATGATATTAATGCTAATGATGATAGTAGAAGTTATGACGGCAACAGAGCAGGAACACAGGGGCAGCAGGAAACTCCCAACCACAGATCCAGACCCCACAGCTCCAGAGCCAGGAATATCTGCAGAAAGTGTTAGGAGGAGAGAGGAGAGAGAAGGGGGACGAGAAAGCACCCGACTACGAGGAAAGGAGAGAGTCCAGTTAGTAACATTGTTAATGGAATGAGGTTGCACCGGGAGGGAGAGAGAGAAAGGAAAGGGGAGCTCGGTGCATCATGATGCATCCCCCGGCAGTCTAGGCCTATAGCAGCACAACCAGGGGTGGACTTACTCTAACTATAAGCTCTATCATAAAGGAAAGTCTTAAGCCTACTCTTAAATAGAGAGACGGTGTCTGTTTCCCGGACCCAAACTGGAACCTGGTTCCACAAAAGAGGATGGTTGATGGTTTTATTATAAATCCCCTCATGTCATTCTTTCTTCATGATTCCTTCAACCTTGACAAGATTTCCAGTTCCAGACGTGTGTCTTCACTGCATGATACTCCCACCACCGTGTTTAACTGTGGGGGAGCATTCTACAATGTGGTGCTCAATCATAGTTAATTAAAGCTTAACTTGATCATGGAGTAATTTCATCTGATGCAGGAGGTGTATGAAATTTTATTTAGCTGCTTCTCCCTGTAGGCTGAATCTGATATTATAAAGCAATTATATTTTTTCATTTGCGATAACAATGGTATAACATTTAAACTTTAAAGCATGGACTGACAATGAAACATGGCCTTACTGACCCAGGAGTAAACAACACCTGTTTTAGAATCCCTTGGAGTTCAAAACAGTGGGAGTTCTGTTTCTGACATCATTCCAACACAGTGCAGTTTTCTTATTAATTAAAAATCCAAGGACGGAAAAAGCCCGTGATGACAGGCTATCCTGGGAGCTCTGCAGGAAGCAAATCAGCTGCAGTTTCGGGAGTGACCTAACCACTTGCTCCAGAAGTATTTTGAGGTCTCCACGGCCCTCTCTTAAACCAGGTGAATTTTAGTCAACAATCAGGGTTAGAGGGTCTCAGGTCAAAGGCAACAGCTATTTAAAAACAAAACAACATATCTATACATAGACGTAGATGTACCTTTGCGTGCAAGAATGAAATATAGCAAGTCTTGAAATGTTACCAAGCAGGCTTTCTCAGTTTAAATTGCCTGTTTTTATGTTAATCCATGTAATCTGTCCTGGTCCATCTATTATAAGTTTGAAGTCTTGCGCACAGAGGACAAAAAACCAACCTACAACTGTCAGTTGGATCAAACAGCTACAGCTAATGGGCAGTTGACAGAGTGGAGAACATGCTTCCTTTGGAACTTTTTCTATACGGATTCCCTCCTGTCCACGTGCTCGGCGTCCAGTTGGTCTGTCCGGACTGCCCGATGGAGGATGCGGAACAGCTGTGAAGACAAAGACCGGACCAGATGTTACGCTGAGGTGCTGCCACGCGACAGATGGGTAGATGGTGGGCCACGCAGAGGGGTAGGGGGGGGGCCCGGGGTATTCCAGGGTCAGAGGCGGGGGGGGGTTAGTCTGAGTCAGCCAACTGTTGTATTTGGACTGCTGAATGTTGTTGGCAGACAGGGGTGTTAATACCGGCCCCCCGGGTCATAAAAAGAGGGTGTGTCTTTTTCCAGATGGATGAGTAGCCTGATAAGCTCTGCGAAAGGGTTTCAGAGGAAGAGGTGGTGGGGGTTGTGTGGAAGGGGGGTGGGGGGGGGCAGACACCACTGCATGTTCACACACACAGTTGGCCCACGGACTCACACCACAGAGCATCCAGGGGTTAGATCTGCATGCTTTGGCTGGATTTGGGGTAAAAAAAAGGGGGCAACTAGAAGGACTTTCAGAGAGGGAGAGAAAGCTTCCAACTGGAAAGCTTCCATCTTCTTGGTTCCGTCAACATCTCTCTCACAGGATTTGAGGAAGATGCTCAAGAAAGTGCGATTCAAGGTAGGAAAATCCAATGCTTGAGTGTCTTTAGAGACGTCCTCTGGTTTTTCTTGACTTAACCACCTGGGTTTTGGGATGGAGAAGTGATCCATTGATCTCCTCACAGACATATTAGCTCATGATAATCAAATGACCTGTTCAACACAACAAAAAAAACTTCCGAAAGATCGTCCTCAAGTGGCTCTGATCGTCTAAAATGTTGAGGATTTTTACTCGGAAAAGGGAGAAGAAACGAAGAGCCGGGCAGTCCTCGCCGTGATTTTGCTGTCTGCGGTTCAAAGGAAGTCCTCTGCTTGCTGTGTTTTATCACACTGAGGCGATAATTACAGCGGCTGGCTCTCAGCCACCCGCAAGCAACCATTTCTGCCTCCATTTTTAGATAGATTTTGGTGGAGGGTTTCTCTGGGCATGCAAGATCTGTAGATTTGTGTTTTTCATGGAATGCCAGACTGACTCTCTTAAGTTTGAATCACTCCTAAAGTCAATTGTAAAGGTACTTGTTTATTTTTTAAAATTTCCCTTTGCTCTGTTCTTTATTAAAAGTTCACAGGAGGAATGGAACTGATTAATAAGAGTAGCAGGTTTCAGGATCATTGGGAATGTCACAACCAGGAACGCGTGCTGTTGTGCTGAGGGGAAAATCATTTTCCCCTCACAGTGTAGAGAGTAAGTTTAAAACACTGTGACAATCCTTTGGGTCCCACTCTCCCTGTTAGTCATTGCTGTTGGCTGTCCGCTCAGAGGAGCCCGAGATGTCTGTGTCACGCATGGATGAGTCCCAAAATGAAGGCAAGAATGTTAATTCAGATCATTTAGGGTGGGTGCTGCCAAGAGGAAATCCCAAATCCACCACAGGAATGATAACGTCCAACGGATCTGTATTTACTGTTACAGCAAACTTGTGTTTTCATGTGATAGATGGTCAAATCAGAAGTGATGCAACCCAACAGCAGCCTGACATGGTCAAACTTAATAAGAAAGAGGCCACAAAATTGTTAAAAGGCCACTTTGTGGCCTGTTTCGGAACATTTTGTATCTCTACATTTTATGCTCATTGTGATCTTTTTTTAATGTTTTTCTTCTGCTATCTCATTAATTTGGTTTCTTTTGGGGTGTCTTTGTAACCACTTTGTGGTATGGTCTGATTTTTTTGTCATGTAGTCATCATTTTATATTTAGTTGCAGTGTAATTCCATATTTCAGCTCCTGGTGCTTATTTTGGAACTGCGCTAAATGTATTCGTCTTAAAGTCATCTCATAGTAGTAATTCTGTGGGATTTAGTGGTATTTCTTGAGCCCATATTTTTATGCCAAACCCCTGAGTCATTAAATTAAATTAAATTAAATTTGATTAATTTGCAGCGAGGCTAAAACACATCAGACATTTCCACAGATCTGGAAAGTTTGTCGGATGAATTCCAGATCCGCGTGTGGAATTTTCCTCTCTGTGATCGTTTCGTTGGGTCTCTCCTCACACTGCTTTTCGAAATTCTCCCGGTGACTTTCTTCTCCAGGATTAGACTCCCCCGGAGGCAAAGATCCCTTTTGCCATCCTCACTCACTCTCAGTTCAGACTCACAATCAACAGAACGTACAGAATTCTTAACTTTTTTTCCCCAATTAAGGCTCTGACCCATGGGAAGGATTGAGTATCCCATCGGACATACAGTGATCTGGTCATTAAATCCCCTTTCTTCCTCTCATTAGTGTTATCTACTGTTAGGTTCTGCTTGTATGTTCAATTTTAGTCCACTAAAAGTGTCTGCTGGGGACACTAGAGGGCAGTCCCGCTTTGCTTTCCGCCTCTGACTA